TGGCAGGGTAGTGGGACCTGATTGTATGGAGAAGGTAAAAGATATTATTTGGTTTGTATTATCTGAAATTGTTCCATTAGTTTTTGCTTCAAAAAGCTCACAATGATGATGAATGGACAGTACGAGATACTTGAGAATGTTGGAGTTGGAGGCTTTACATCGGTTTACAAGGCCTGCAACCGTGAGACAAAAGAAACTGTTGCTTTAAAAGGGATTCATGTTTTTAACAAATTTGAAGGTGTGGCGAGTTCAATAATCAGAGAAATCTCTTTGTTGAGCGAAATGGAGCATAGCAATATTGTCAGGTAGTAATTCCTCCACTATTTCTGTTGGTTTACAGTTATAAGATGAAAATATGAAATATAATACTGGAGATTAAACTTGGAAAAGCAATAAAACCTGCCATAAGGTATCTGATCACAACACTCACTGCTGTCATTTTCCAAATTAACTTTAACCTAGGAAAAGAGAATTAAATTTAGTTTCATTCAGATTGTGTATGAGGTAACACTGACCTCTCTTCTTATGAGGCTTAAAGAACATTTTGATGTTGGCAACTTAAATTTTCCAAAAGTAAAATCATGAAAGAGATCCATTCAAAAGAACAGTTTGGAAAAGTATATTATAGTCTTAAATATTGCTGAAATATATATCAACAAGATATGATTAGTATGAAGCCGCCAATTTTTCATGGTACTTGGGTATCCATTCTCCTTCGAATTAAAGACAGGAAGCCATCATAAATTGATAATAGATGCCACTTGGTGAACTGCTTGCTCATATGTATACATTTCTAAACAACATCATGAGGCACTAGCATCTTTATACCAACACGTTGAATCATACTGCTCAGGCTTATGTTTTGTGATATAAATATTTTGTTTGAAAATGATGATTTCCTATAACTATAAGTATTTCATCAACTAGGTTTTGAGTTCTGATTTTGGTAGTTAAATTTTGTTCATATGATGAAGTTTTGAAATAATTTCCTACATATGTTTTACTCTCAGCAGGAAACACCTTACACATTTGCAAAATCGTAACCTGCACCTCCATGTTTGCACACTGAAAAATTATCAGCAATTTTACGAAACACTAAGTAATATATATTGAGAGAAAAATCCTTCAAACTCATATTATGATACTGGTTTTACGGATTTGTAAGTTGACTCTTGACTTTGAGTCACTGGTTGTGTTTACCTATTAAGTTTATGTACATCTTGGTTTAGCCTAAGAAATCAATTGATGGACTTCTGGCTTACAGGTTATTAGATGTAGTTGTGGAGAGTGGAACGAATAAAGTGTTTCTTGTTGTCGAGTATATGGATGTTGATCTGAAGAAGTTCATGAATACCAGTTCAGAGACTGCCAAGGATCCACATTTGATAAAAGTGGGTGAGATTTTCCATGTTGATAATATGTAAATGATTTCAAAATTATTATTACTCTTATACTCTGTAGCTTATAAGCTTAGTTGCTCCAATGAACAAGATAAAATTTATCAACCGTCTGAATTATTTTAGCAAATGATTCCAGGGTAGGTGGGTTGTTTGCATCTTGACTCATACTGACCTCACTATTTGTAATTATTGTGAATTATGTAAGCACATGGCATTTTTCCTTTTTTTTAGGGTTTTTGAATGTACTTAATTGGTGTTTATTTCCAATGCATTTCAACACATATTAGTGATGGGAAACGGAAACAACTACAATGTATGTGGAACAAGAACTGTTGGTGAAATTCTAACCTGACTAAAATATAAAGAAGTAGCTTACCCCCCCAAAAAAAAAAAAAATAAATAAATAAATAAAACAAGTACTGATAGACTAGTTCAACAGTAACAAAAGGAAAAGAATATTTCATATGCCATACATAACATATGAGATGATTTAATTTTCATGTAGCATCTTAATGCCCCCTATTAAGTACTAAAATTTACCTAGTTTTCCCTGTGAAGGTGATAATGTTGATAACAAGGGATATCAACAGTTAATTTCACGATTTACTTTCTCATGTTCTTTTTCCCTGCAGAGTTTTCTGCATCAGATACTCAGTGGTCTTGCCTATTGTCATTCTCACAAAATTGTCCACCGAGATCTTAAACCACAGAATTTGCTGATAAACTCTAGTGAAAAAATCCTGAAGCTTGCAGACTTTGGATCAGCCAGGCTAGTTGGTGTTCCTCTCAATAAATATACTGAAGGCGATGAGGTACCAATATTCACCTTTCACTGTCTCAGCTTTCTCTTGGATTTTTTGAGCTTTTAGTCTGAGCTTACCACTATCAGCTTTGTGGGTAAGAAACTGAATCATTTGTAGGTTGCGCTGCAGATGATGTTTCAGTATTTTCTTTATAATGTATTCTATTAGAAACAGTCATCGGATAAATTTCAATAGAAATTGCATTACTTCTTTTTTTTTTTTTTTTTTTTTTTTTAATACAAGAAATTTAGTAACACTTGGTGTGCATGTTGTCTGTAACCTCTGTTCTTGGAAATGAATTCATATTACTTGCTGCTTATATGGCGAAACAAGAATAGGTTTTCTTGGCTACATATATTTTTGAAAATTGTGGGGTTACTTGATATGGGGCTTGTAGTCTTTTGAATTTTAATCAGACCTATTAGATATTACATAACATTTTGTTGTAAATCTCTCTCTCTCTCTCTCTCTCTCTCTCTAGGTTAAACAAACATCCACTATTGTCTCTAATGCAGATTTGAACCCTTAAACAAACATCCACTATTGTCTCCATGACCTTTTCTAGGTTCCCTTTGAAGCAGAAAAATTCATGATTTTATACATTATTTCTCAATCTTATACATTCAAGATGATGGACTTCTGACTAAAAAAACTAATATAAAACGTAAATGGTTCAAGAAGGGGCATCCAAAGAGGCCTACACCTGACCAAAATTTCATAACAATTTCTTAAAATACCCTGTTCTGATTTAATGGCAATAACAATGTCTAAGCAGTTTTTAACACCACATTCAGTACCTTTATTTTCATTTCATTATGAATCTTCCACTAGCAATTGCTATTTATGTTTCTCATATTGTTGGTGTTTTGCTTCAGATAGCAACTCCAATTTACATGGCACCTGAACTCTTAAATGACTTGAAATACTCCACTGAAGTTGATATGTGGTCTGTGGGATGCATATTTGCTGAGATGTGTAACCAGGAGCCTCTCTTTGATGCTTCAGGTCTTTTTGAACATGTAGACAAAATTTTCAGGTGGTATATTATTTTGGAGACTCCACCAAGCCGCCACTGATTGTTCGGATCTTATTAATGCCTTGTGATGGTGCTATACTAACTACATCTTTGTTTTAATGAAGCTTATTGGGCATACCAGATGAACAGACCTGGCCTAAAGTGACTTTCTATCGTCAATATTTGGGTATTGCTGAGAATACTCCTCCTAAGGTAGTACAGGTTCTGGTTGAATTGTGGTTTTATTTTTCCTGCTTTAGAATCTTAGAAATATATTTACTTTTTTTTCTTTTTCTTCCGCATGCAGAATCTGGCAGAAGTAGTTCCGAATCTTGAACCAGCTGGAGTCGATCTTCTTTCTGTAAGTTTCTCCTCGTTATAATTAAGTGGAAATTAGAAGGCCTCAGCTCTGTCCTGAGGAGCCAAGAATTTATTTGGCTGCAAATTATTGATTAGTAATTTAGTATAGCTACTCAGAGGAAGCTTAATACTCCTCCTTTTAACCAACGTCCCATGGCCACTTGGGATTAGCAGCTTTTAAGATGGACACCTGCATATCTAATTATGACAATTGGGCAAATAGTTCCTTAAATATAAAGTAGGTGATTTTAAATTTGTCTAAGAAAAAAAAAAAAGCAGCTTTACCGGTTCAGCTACAAAATTTTTACTCTAAATACTCATACCAAAGCTTTTGATACGCAGAAAATGCTTCGCTACAACCCAAGAGAAAGAATTACAGCTTTTGATGCACTGAAGCACCCGTACTTTGCTGGTGTTGGGGGACCTTGATTCATCTACAGACCTGCATCTTTCTGTTATACCAACATTACAGCAATTTGTATTTTAGTGTTTGCAATTCTTTCTCTCTGTCAGAGAAGAACTTACTCATATGTTACATAAACCTCTGGTTAGCTTACTGCTTGTGAATGGATCATTACTTCTTCTTTTTTTCGAATGGTATGGATCAATTTAGTGAGGCAGAGAAGCAATTCAATAACACATTTATGAGTTTTTCTCGTTTGCAATGTTTCTTAGGTTTCCCTCTCAGCAGAACATACACTCAGTCTATCAATAGGCGGTTAGCCCAATGGAATAACCTCCCTATCCTTAAAGAGGATGGAGGGGTTTGAGTCCAGGGGTGGGCAACGTGTACTTGAGTACTTATCTGATCTAAAAAAAAAATTTAGACAATGAGTATTGACTAAGAAGATGGAGTATCGTTTTTGCTACAATTGCAGACTGAGTTGTATATAAGATGGAGGATGGTTCTAAAATCATTTATCAAACCAGTCTGGCCAAGCTTCATATCTGCTGGAATAGATATTCGGTGCACTGTGCACCAGCCCACCGGACTAATCTGAGCCATGCGTGCACAATACGCACCTACGTGTGCACATCACGAACGGCTCAGATTGACCACACACTGAATATTTATTTCTGGTTGTGGTCTAATAAACACCTCAAAAGTGTGCCACCATGAGATAGAAGTCTCAATGCAATGACGTGTCACACTGTAATTGGTAGTCAAACATGAAATGCTTTGAAGCCTCAGGATCACATACACCAAAAAGGATCTGCTCACTCAACACTTCAATTAGTTCTGTAACTATGAAATTCACCATCAAAAGCTTATGGCCAACATTTTCCTTCTCAATAATCTAGTTAGACAAGCATGCATTTACATAATTTACCAAAAATAAAAGGGTCTAGTCTATGATAAAGACAGCTGTCACTTTGAAAAACTCTTTCTGATTAATAAACACAGAGTGGGGTGTGTGTGAGAGAGAGAGAAAGAGGAGAAGAAAAAGCAGAGTGAGCATTAAACTCTGAGTTCCATTGTCATTTTTTTTTTTGAATAACCTAATAGTATTATACAACAATAAGTTAAAAATTATACATTGAAGGCTAAGATGTTACTGACTTGTCTTCCTCATCAATCTCCATCTGACCTGATGGAGATAACAGAGAAGAAGAAGAAGAAAAGAGAGAGAGAGAATCAGAAAAAGAAGAAGAAGAAGAAGCCAATCCAACAAGCAAATCAACAAAGGCTTTAACTATAACCCCATGATTCTTATTCCCATTCACTCTCAAGTACCACCCCAACAACTCTTCCAACTTGTCCCAATCTTTCAATCCATGACTCTCCACCATCTCCTCCATGGACCTCCTGAAATCCACATAAGGGTCATCTGAGTCCACTGCCACCAGCAGGCTCTCCTTAAATGGAAACCCTTCGGTTTTCGCCTCCTCCAAGATGGAACTAGTGTCACCAGGCTCGAAAAACAGCCTCTCTGATTGCACGCCGCGTATGATCACCTCCAATGACTCCCCTCCAAAGTCCTCTGATTGATCATGATCAGTTGTGAAGCTAGCAGTGTCCGACGACTTTGTAAACCAAGACCCCGGTGTTTCAACCTCATCAGAGGGGTTGAAGAAGGCGGAGTCCATGGCCTTGAGCACGCCATCCCCGGCTCGAAAAGAGTGAGTGTTGGGGTGCTTGCACAAGGGCCATTGCCATGGAGGCCTTGGTTCTTTGTTCTTGAACAGAGAAGGGATCTTCATCTTCTAACACCTATGTTGAGTAGTAGTTTTCAAATGGTTTTTCCTTTCTTTGTAGACAAATGAGTTGTGAGTGTGTGCTGTGTGTGTTTTGGGATTGTGATATTAATGATGATTGAAGGAATAGCATGGGGGGATATAAAGAAAAGGGTGATAGGGAAGGTGGAAAAGAAGTGGGGTGAGATAGAACCCCATCATGTGGGGCAGTTGATTATAGGTTTGAAAACTTTTTGTTGTTATTTAATGTCCCCATTACAACAAACATATACATACACACACACACATATATATATAACAGTACTTTTGTCAACCAGAATTTAATAATATGGGAACCCTTTTTCTAACATGTTTTCTGGCTGCTATATACAGCCCCCCCTTTTTTTCTGCTGTATCCAGCAGTTTAGTTTCAACTTTCGAACCAATTACAGTAAATTTTAGGTCCACGACTTGACTATTAACACAAACCATGTTACTAAATTTGGCAAGATTGGTTCAATCAGAAGCTCATTTCAAGATTATTTGTGAGAAATTGAGTGAAAACTTACTTTTGAAAGGAGCTCATTTGAGATTGTTTGTGAATTAAATAACCTAAGCTCAAATTCTTGAACAAATTTTGTAACATTATAGAGCCAATCTCAAGCGCCTACTCATCAGATTGATTCGTTGCTCAGCTTGTTTGCAGCCCTTGACGAATACATATACGAGAATGTGAATTGAGCCTAAAATTACTAGGGATATCTATTAGGTGACAATAATTTCGTCAATTCAAGAATATCTTGAAAAATACGAAAATGACAATATGAAATTATGGGTTTTTGCCCCAAAAAAAAAAAAAAAAAAAAATGAAATTTAAGTGCAACTGGAAGTAAATTTAGAAGATAAAAGTTATATTTGATTAGGGGACTGCAATAAAGATAATCAAAATTGAGTATGCAATGAACAATCCGCCAAGAGTGCATGCACCATTAGAGAAATCAAAATATAATAACACCAGTCACTTTCAATATGAGGACTTTTAGCTTGGCTTTTCATGTGTGGCATTATTTTTCAGGTTTTTTTATACAAGCATTGACCCTGCTTTGTTTATGGAAACCTTTTTTTTTTTTTTTTTGCTGACCTTCCACTAGCCCCTATCTTGTTTCAGTCAGCCTATCAGAGCTCTTTTGTTGTAATAGTAATTGAAAAGGACCCAATTGGTATTCTAAGAGATTTAGGTGAAAAATGTAAATAACCTATACAGAGAAGCTTCAAGAAAAGCATAAAAAAAAAAAAAAAAGTTCATGTGAGTTCTTTATGGAGACACAGTTGAGACACACACAACCACACACTATGGACTGGCCTCTCATTTACAATAATATATTTGCTTCTCTCTCTCTCTCTCTCTCTCTCTCTCGTTCTTTACCCCATTTGGCACTCTGTCCATTCAGAGGGTCCAAGACCATGTCACAAGTCACACTCCTTTCCTATTGAAATGTAATTGGGATAATCTGGGCTTAATGTTGTCAGATGCCATGAACCATATGACCATTATTATTATATTAGGCATATGATATTATTATTATTATTACTTTTTTTATCATGTGAAAAGACACAAAGGCCAAGTCAAGATGGCAGTAAAGAGGCATAAGTCTAGCCAAATAAAGGCATACAAATCATGAAGTAATACAATAAAATGAAGAACAGGTTCCAGATTTGGTGAGAAAGAGCCACCGCTCTAAAACGAAAATCACCAAGGGAGAAGAGCAGCAACTGGAATGACCAAAAGTCAAGCCATCATCAAGGCTACAGCTCCAAAACTGCATCCACAAGGCGCCTCCACACACCTAACCCCGCACAAGATCAAATCAAGCTAGGGAAAAACAAAAATCAACCGAGGTAAGTGATCTAGCCGAAGGGAAAACAACAGATCCATCCTATCGAGTCGGAAACAAACCAAACAAGAGCAGATCTAGCCGTATAAAAACAAAAAAAAGACGTGAAAAATCACCCACAGGGCAAACTTATTGTGACACACCGATGTTATTAACCTGTGGGAGGCAAGCAAGGTCACCTCCCCACTCCCATGGAAGGGAGCAGGGAGCAAAACGGAAGGGCCGAGTGGCTGCAAGAGAGAAAGGGGAAGAGAGAGAACAGAGGAAAAGGGTGAGGCAGCTAAATAATATTATTAGGCATATGATGTAGTACCTATATTCATTGTATATGTAATGGGAGGAGGAAGGGAAGTTATTTGTGTGCACACCTCGTAACTATGTAGACTCGTTTTGACAAAGTATGTAAAGTAAACAATATTTACATGGGTTGGATAAGTGTTAATATAAGTATGTCTCTTACTTTCTACTTGGAGCAGGTATTCAGTGTGTCCGGTGCACTAGGCACATCACAATTGTCCATGTTGTACACCCGCTGTAAGTGCACAACACATGCTAACACAAACGGTTATAATGTGTCTGATGCACGGTGTCGGATATACTAGAATTAAGGGTAATGAACACATCAAGTTGACTCTAAATTATATTATATTATATTTTTATTTATTATTATTATTATTTTTGGAAGGTAAGTTATAACTCTAAAATGTATTCTTATCTTTTGGGTGAGACATTTGTACTACACAATATATTATTGTCAAGAAAAGTTTCTTTGCTCTAGGGGGTAAAAAAGGAAAGAACATTTATGCGTACAATTTAAAGTGCATGTCCCCATTAATCCATTTTTATGTACAAAAACTATTTGGCATTATGCATGAGAAGACAATATAGAGTGGATCCTACTCGTGTTGCATCATCAATTCATGCAGGTGAGCTTCGTTGATGCAATTGATGTTGGTGCCTCATGATATATATGATTATTTGGTATATGAATCACACCTGCCAAATCTTAGCCCCATTGGTGAATCACAAATTTGGTGAAATACATGTAGGTTGTATTTTTCACTAACAGACAAAAAATAAAATAACATAAAAAATAAAAAATGCGTTGCCATTTCATATGATGCAATTTCTATTACTTTATGTGTTTTTGGCTTCTTGTCATCTAACACTGCATGCAATGGAGTGCTTCTTATCTTCTTGCATGTGGAATAATGAAGGTGTAACAGAAGAAAGAACAAGTGAAAAACTATTATATATATATATCGTGTGTATAAGAATTTTTTACATGTTACCACATGATCTTGGCTTATCACAATTTTTACATGAACACATCAAGTGAAAAACAGCCTCTCTGATTGCACGCCGCGTATGATCACCTCCAATGACTCCCCTCCAAAGTCCTCTGATTGATCAGTTGTGAAGCTAGCAGTGTCCGATGACTTTGTAAACCAAGACTCCGGTGTTTCAACCTCATCAGAGGGGTTGAAGAAGGCGGAGTCCATGGCCTTGAGCACGCCATCCCCGGCTCGAAAAGAGTGAGTGTTGGGGTGCTTGCACAAGGGCCATTGCCATGGAGGCCTTGTTTCTTTGTTCTTGAACAGAGAAGGGATCTTCATCTTCTAACACCTATGTTGAGTAGTAGTTTTCAAATGGTTTTTCCTTTCTTTGTAGACAAATGAGTTGTGAGTGTGTGCTGTGTGTGGTTTGGGATTGTGATATTAATGATGATTGAAGGAATAGCATGGGGGATATAAAGAAAAGGGTGATAGGGAAGGTGGAAAAGAAGTGGGGTGAGTTACAACCCCATCATGTGGGGCATTTGATTATAGGTTTGAAAACTTTTTGTTGTTATTTAATGTCCCCATTACAACAAACATATACATACATACATATATATATATATAACAGTACTTTTTTCAACCAGAATTAAATAATATGGGAACCCTTTTTCTAACATGTTTTCAGGCTGCTATATACAGCCCCCCCTTTTTCTGCTGTATCCATTAATTTAGTTTCAACTTTCAAACCAACTACAGTAAATTTTAGGTCCATGACTTGACTATTAACACAAACCATGTTACTAAATTGGGCAAGATTGGTTCAATCAGATTCTCATTTCAAGATTATTTGTGAGAAATTGAGTGAAAACTTACTTTTGAAAGGAGCTCTAAAATTCTTTACACCAAATAAACGAGTTGCATTATGATCCACTTGACTAGGAGCTCATTTGAGATTGTTTGTGTATTAAATAACCTAAGCTCAAATTCTTGAACAAAGTTTGTAACATTAGAGCCAATCTCAAGCGCCTACTCGTCTGCTTGAATCGCTGCTCGCCTCGTTTGCAGCCCCTTGACGAATGCATATGCCAGGATGTGAATTGAGCCTAAAATTACTAGGGATATCTATTAGGTGACAATACTCTCGCCGATTCAAGAATATGTTGAAAAATAAGAAAATGACAATATGAAATAATGGGTTTTTGCCAAAAAAAAAAAAAAAAAAAAATTGCAAAAGGAAATTCAAGTGCCACTGGAAGCAAATTTAGAAGATAAAAGCTATATTTGATTAGGGGACTGCAATGAACAATTCACCAAGAGTGCACGCACCATTAGAGAAATCAAAATATCGTAACACCAGTCACTTTCCATATGAGGACTTTTAGCTTGGCTCTTCATGCGTGGCATGATTTTTCAGGTTTTTTGTATACACCATTGACACTGCTTTGTTTATGGAAACGTTTTTTTTTTTTTTTTTAGGCTGACCTCCCACTAGCCCCTCTCTTGTTTCAGTCAGCCTATCAAAGCTCTTTTGTTATTATAGTAATTGAAAAGGACCCAATTGTTATTCTAAGAGATTTAGGTGAAAAATGTAAATAACCTATGCAGAGAAGCTTCAAGAAAAGCATTAAAAATAAAAATAAAAAATCAATTGAGTTCTTTATGGAGACATAGTTGAGACACACACAACCACACACTAATGACTGGCCTCTCATTTACAATAATATACTTGCTTCTCTCTCTCTTTCTTTACCCCATTTGGCACTCTGTCCATTGAATAAGCCATTCAGAGGGTCCAAGACCAGGTCACAAGTCACACTCCTTCTCTATTGAAACGTAATTGGGATATCTTTCGAAAAAAAAAATGTAATTTGGATAATCTGGGCTTAATGTTGTCAGATGCTTTGAACCACATGACCATTATTATTATATTAGGCATATGATGTAGTACCTATATTCATTTTATAGGTAATGGGAAGAGGAAGGGAAGTTTGTCTATATTTACGTGTGGGCACTTTTTTAACTATGTAGATTAATTTTGAATAAAATTAAAAGGTATTAAGAGAAAAGTATGTAAAGTGAACAATATTTATATGGGTTGGACAAGTTTTGACCCAAGTATGTCTCCTACTTCCTACTTGGAGCAGGTATTTGGTGTGCCCGGTGCACCTTGCACGGGGCACATCGCAATCTTCCGTGTTGTATACTCGCAGCACGTACACAACACGTACGGGCATAAACTGTTATAATGTGTCTGGCCCACGACGCCGAATATACTAGACACGTTTTTAAAATTGTAAAAATAAGTATGTAAAATTAGCAAATACTAACATTATTATAAGCTAATTTAACTCAAAGCACCCAAATAATCTCACATTCATTCAAGTGTTATACACATATGAAATAAGACCACCCCGTAGGGTAATGAACACATCAAGTTGACTCTTAAATGTATCCTTATCTTTTGGGTGAGACATTTGTACCACACAAGCATATTTTATTGTCAATAAATGTTTCTTTGCTCTAGGGGGTAAAAAAGGAAAGAGCATTTATGTGTATAATTTTTTTTTTTTTTTTTAGTTGTTACTCGTACACATGCCTTCATAGATGGTCAAACCCTAACTTTCTTTTAAAAAGTAAAAATTTGGTATCGCTACTGACTTGATCATTTATGTATACAATTTAAAGTGCATGTCCCCGTTAATCCATTTTTATGTATAATATAGACAATATGAGAAGACAATATAGAGTGGGTCCTACTCTTGTTGCATCATCAATTCATTCAGGAGAGCTTCATTTATGCAATTGATGGTGGTGCCTCATGATATATGATTATTTGGTATATGAATCACACCTGCCAAATCTTAGCCACGTTGGTGAATCACAAAATTTGGTGACTGCTGGTGTACACATGTAGGTTGTATTTTTCACTAACAGACAAAAAATAATAATAAAAAATAAAAAATGTGTTGCCATTTCATATGATGCAATTTCTATTACTTCTTTTTTTTGGCTTCTTGTCATCTAACACTGCATGCAATGGAGTGCTTCTTATCTTCTTGCATGTGGAATAATGAAGGTACCAGAAGAAAGAACAAGTGAATAACTATATATATATATATATTGTGTGTATAAGAATTTTTTTACATGTTACCACATGATCTTGGCTTATCACAATTTTACATGCAAATAATTATATTAATTTTATTTAAATTTTTATTTACATATTATATTATGATTGACCGAATCATATAATAATTACTGTTTGTACACACATTTTCAAGGTTAATAAACATTTTCAAGTTATGAACTCAATAGATAAACATTTTCATGACTTTCAGAAGTTCATATTGTAATGCTAACACTTGCTTACAGTGTTTCTCACAAAATTTGTGTTCTTATACTCAAATTCATTAATTGCTACTCATTTGGGTTGTTAGTCACTACTGAGATTCGAATTTTTTACCTCTTTTTAAAAGTAGGGGTTTAGTATTGTTAAACCACTCACGTGTTGATCAAAAATTAAAAAATAAAAGAACTTTTTTATTGTTTAGATTTACTTTTTCTTCTCATAATGCTAGAGGTTTTGTGCTTCCTCAGCGAGATTATTTTGTTACGCAATTAATTATTTTGTTCTGCTTGAAAGTGTGCGTCATTACTTTATCGTACATTTATTTATTCTCTAATTTACCTCTAAAAGCATATTGAATTTACAAAATTAATCTAACACTCGATAATGACCTTCGATCACCACAATTGTATTAAAAAAAAGATGTTATCTCATTAATATCTCTCTCTCTCTCTCTCGAAAGTGGATAACAAACCTAAGCCAAATAACTTAAAAGGATATTAACTAAAATTTCTCAAAGTTTTTTAATAAATAATGAGAAGTTTGTCTTAAAAGTGCATTTCTTAATTAAATGATATATTTGAAATTGCAATGTATCACCAAACAACACTGACATACAACAATAGTCGGGGTTTTTTATTTTTATTTTTTCCATCTATAAACATTCCATCGAATCCAAAGTTCCAAAACGAACTGAGCAACCTTGTTCTATAATAATTATTTTTATTAAAATGTTTGCTACTGTAACATATATATACACACACACACACACACACACATGTATATGCTCGTGTGATTAAGAGATCCTTGTTTTGGAATCTTGAGATTGCTGTCTTCAAATTAATGAGTTTCTAGAGAGACAAAAAGGTGTGCATATGAACTAGTCTGTCTCCTCTCTGCCATCATTCATGATTGGTGGCTCAATTATAGGTTTAAGTCATAATACACACACACACACACACACACACACACACATATATATAAAGTCCAATTATTTAACGATTTCATGAAACATACCCGCCATCCATATGGCTTCAGTTAGGGGATCACATTAAGAGAACAAATTAAACAATTACATTAAGAGTTGACATAAACATCGTTTTATATATTATTAGTTTGAAAAAAAAAAAAAAAGGAGGAATTAAGGTGATTATTAAAAGGTGCATTAGGTGAATCATTTGAAAGAAAGTCTACTTTAGCTGCACCCCTTTAGAAATGACAAAAGACCAAGTTCAAGAAGAGGACACCCTAATCCAACACTGAAGGGTTAGACTAATTTCGGGTTAAGAATGCATATTACACATCATCGACCATAATTACCTACATACACGTGTGACTTGTTGTACAACAGAGGATTCGGAGGGATCACATTAAGAGAACAAACTAAACAATTACATTCAGAGTTGACATAAACATCGTTTTATATATTATTAGTTTGAAAAAAAAAAAAGAAAAAAAAAGAAAAGGAATTAAGGTGTTTATTAAAAGGTGCATTAGGTGAATCATTTGAAAGAAAGTCTACTTTAGCTGCACCCCTTTAGAAATGACAAAAGACCAACTTCGAGAAGAGGACACCCTAATCCTCAAAACACTGAAGGGTTAGACTAATTCCAAGTTAAGGATGCATATTACACGTTATCAACCATAATTACTTACATACACGTGTGACTTGTGTGACTTGTTGTACGACAGAGGATTCGAACTTCACGCTTTTTCTTTTTCTTATTCTTTTTTTTCTATATTTTTTATTTTTGTTCCAGGATTCGAAATCAAACTCCCAAAACGAGCGGGAAAAAACCAACCATTTTAGCTACTTTAGGAGAGTGCCCTTCAGCATATTAGAGTAGATTCAAGTAGACTCCATGTCAATTGAAACAGGGCTTTTAAGTTAGTGTGCTGATAGGGTGAAGTAACTCAACCAAACATACTCAAGCCCAATCAACCCAAGCCCAGTCTAGATTTTTTGTTGGGCCCAAATGGAAACCAGCCC